TCTCACCTCTCAAGTTCATTCATTTCTTTCTGCAATTGGATGGCATTGTACTTTCCAGTGGATGTGTATCTCGAAATTGGCCAGGGTCATAACATGGCTCCCGTTTTGAGCATCTACGACCCAACTTTGCCAACGAGAGTGACTACGGGCGCTTTCGGCTACAACCTTGGTGCAGTCTTGGAGCAGCACGACGGCATAAACCGGCATCCGAGTGAGTACTTCAGCCAAAAGGTGCCCCCCATCAATTCGCTTGATGATGCGAGGAAGAAAAGAGTTGCTGGCCTTCGTTACGGTACACAAACACTTCCTCCTCAGGCGTCGTAGGTTCACTTGGGTTACCGACAATAACCCATTGACCTACTACAAGACACGGTGAGTAGCACAATCGAAAGATGGATGTACTTCATTGACCAATTCGACTTCGCGCCAAAGCCTATCTCGGGTCTCTCCAATCGAGCGATCGATGCTCTCTCGCGAAGAGCCGATCTTTGCGCATTGACATACCACGCCTTCGACTTCAATGAAGACCTACACCAGTATTTTGTACGAGCATACAAGACGGATCCGGACTATGCTACCCTCTACGAGGGACTTTCTTCGGATAACCCACTGGCTAGCCACTACCACATTGTCGATAGGTACTTGCTTCTCCATTCGCGAGGCAAAGACTTGCTATGCATCCCATGGGACCGCGGATTACGGACTCACCTCCTTGGTAAGTACCGCGACCCATTGACCTACTACAAGACACGGTGAGTAGCACGATCTGAAGATGGATGAACTTCGTCAACCAGTTCGACTTCGCACCAAAGCATATCTAGGGTCTCTCCAATCGAGCCACTGATGCTCTCTTGCGAAGAGCCGATCTTTGCGCATTGACACACCGCGCCTTTGACTTCGACGAGGACCTACACCAGTATTTCGTACGAGCATACAAGACGGATCCGGACTATGCTACCCTCTACAAGGAACTTTCTTCGGATAACCCACCAGCTACCCACTACCGCATCGTCGATGGGTACTTGCTTCTCCATTCGCGAGGCAAAGAATTGTTATGCATCCCACATGACCACCGATTACGGACTCACCTCCTTGGTGCGTACCACAACTCGCGGCTCGCCGAACACTTTGGAGTCAACCAGACAGTCGCTCAACTTCGCCAACAATTTCGATGGTCCGATGTCATCATCCACGTAACATGGCATTGCAAATCTCGCGAGGTTTGTCGATGCAACAAGCCCCGCAGCCGCAACCCCTACGGTGAGTTGCGCCCGTTGCCAATTCCTCGGAAGCCCGGCTGTTCAATTGCCATGGACGTCACCGGACCCTTCCCACACCTTGGGCACGACGGCATCCTTACAGTCGTTGACCGGCTAAGGAAGTACGCGCGGCTTCTTCCTTGCAAGTATCATGCAACGGCTCCCGAGCTCACGAGACTCTTGCACACCGGTTGGATTTGTGGCCACAGCGTTCAAAAGATATCGTTAGCGACCGTGACACTTAATTCACGTCGGTTTTTTGGACCTCTCTCATGAAAGAGTACGGCACCGAGATAAAACCAAGTTCGACTCGTCACCCACAAACGGACGGGCAAACAGAGCGGGCACATCAAACCGCTCAAATGTTGCTCCGTACGCTCATCGTCCATACCAGATAGTTTGGGTTGATTACCTCCCCAACATCAAATTCACCTACAACACTTCGTTGTATCCGGCAATTGGTGTGACTCCATTTGAGTTGCACCATGGTGGCCGTAAAGGATGCATCTTCGCCAATCTTCTATTCACTCGGGCAGCCGACATAGACGCCCCTTGCTCTCCCGCTTCCGTACGCCCGCACAAACATGCAAAAGGCTCAAGCCTTCATGCAGCAGCAGGCTAATCGGCATCGTGAGCCATGTCCCATCCGCGTCGGCGACCCTGTATGGATTTCCTCCAAGGAGTTCGCTCTCGAACAAGATGTCTCGTGCAAGCTCCTCCCCAAGTGGTGTGGACCACAGACCATCAAATCAGTCACAGGCAACAAGCCCGATGGCCCATTGTTTGTGATCGAAATCCCGCCGCATCTTCCAGTCCACCCAGTTTTTCCACACCTCCAAGCTGGCTACTTATACACCAGCCAAGAGTGATGACTTCCCGGGCCGGCGATCACAAGCCCGTCCTTTTATGGATGGCCACCAAGAGATCGATTGGGTCATTATGCCTTGCAAGTACGGCAACAAGCCAATGCAATACAAGGTAGCCTTCAAGCAATGCAACCATGACGACACACGATGGATTTCACGAGCAGACTTGCAAGCATCAGCCCCGCTAGTCTACGCCGACTACAAGAAGCGACGACTTGCGAAACAAGCTTCACAACCTGCCCATCCCACCCGAACTTCGGTCCCTCCCTCCGACAGACAGCTTCGTCCTCGCCAGCGAACTCGGTCTTTCAAGGAGAGGGGGGGTTGGCATTCTCAATACCACACGGGCCCCTAGAGGGCCCAACCAGTAGGTGTAGGGGTAGGGCTGGGTAGGGCCAGGTCCAAGGTCTGTCAGGATTAGGCCCAGCGGCATTTCAGGGTCTACTACCGGGTCTAGGTTAGGTCTGAGCCATTTTAGGCCCTGGGTGCTGTTTCTGTAGGCACCAGACCGAGTCCAGGTTAGGCAGACCTGAGGTCCGTTTTGGCGCCATTTCGTTAGGCGCCAGGTACCAGTCTGTAATACGGCAGTTTAGGGGCCAGGATGGTTAGGCACCAGATTCGAATTGAGGCGCCCGTTTGTTTCGAGGCAGACCCTGAGGCTGGACCAGCGCTATGTATAGCTGGCCCGCCTCAGTTGTAGGCAGGTAGTACTTGGGTAGTTTTTGAGGTAGCTCTGTGTTAGTGCGGAGATTAGTCGACGCGCTGGGCGCCGTTAGGAGAGGGAGCGAGAAAGCACTGCACTCGAGCTGCAGTAGAAGGGAGAGTTGAGGCGGAGGCCAGGGGACTTACCTGCGTCTTCAGTACGTCCGCACCTGCATCAAGGTGACACCTTTCTGCAGGTTAGTACCTGGCATACATGCAGCGAGCGAGCGAGAGCGAGAGAGAGAGAGAGAGAGAGAGAGAGAGAGAGAGAGAGAGAGAGAGAGAGAGAGAGAGAGAGAGTTGACATTGAGACTTGGTGACTTTCGACCTTCGCCTCACTCGGCGACATTGTGACTTGACATAGTATGAGCAGCGACATTGGGATGCATTGGAGACTGGGTTCATCGGGTTATGGTGGCTGATCCTCACTGTCTCCTCCACCCTTAGTCTATTCTCCCCCATCTTCGTCCGTGTATGTGGTCAGGCTCGGCGCACCTTCTATGTTTGCTGTGCCGAGCCACTCACACTGTGTGATGATGGTTGCAGTCGGGTCCTGACATTGTCCTTGCTGAGTCAGATCTTGGTATTCCAGTCTTCCGCTGTGCTATTTTTATATTGTCTCTGAGAAGTCGGTTCTTGGTCTTGATCAATACCGATTACGCATGCGCCACAAACTGAGTTAGGCCCTGTTCCACTAGATTCCATGCACAAAACAAAACACACAAAAAAAAGTCCGCAAAAAAGGAAACAAAACGGACAGGCAGGCCGCCATGGTAAGGCCTACCTGCCTGTCCTTTTGTCATAGACTACCACTTCATATTTGCCAACTCGCAGTACAAGTGAAAAACACCCTGTAGGAAAGTGACGAAGGGGCATGCCAAGAATGTCAATGACAAATCGGCCATGAACTCTGGACACCTGGTCCACTAATTCTCTTCCTACAGCCTACACAAAAATTCCTGGTCAGGGAAAAGCTTTGTAGTATCGACAGACACAAACCAGAATGACAGCAGCCTCAAGGTCACAAAGGGGCATGCAGAGAATTTCAAAGATAAATCCACCATCAACTCTGGACACCTGGCCCCAATAATTATGTTCCGACGCAAGAGCAAATAGAAAGCAAGGTACTGCGTGATGAGATGGAGGAACGAAGATGATCACCACATATTCTACACATGCTGGACAGGAATGTATGGAGACAACCCACCATTGGCTGACCACGGGATAAGGCATCTGCTGCAGTGTGCCATATCGAAAGCTCTGCTCGGGTATGGCAGTCTTTGAGTGGCGATTACGCCGAGCATAGCTGGAATACCCCGCTCAAGAGCAAACTGGATCTGTGCCTCATGGTTATCTTTTGGTGCAAAAGACAAAGGAAGGATGCCCCTGTGCAGCAAATCTCCACCCCAGCTGGCAACCTGCAAGCAGCCAAGAAACATTCAGGCGAATCCGAGAAGGTGATCAGGGACGTCAACGATTGGCAAACAATCAATATTCGATCACAAAGAAGGATCGCAACAGCTGAAAGAATTTGCCAGTCCCACGTGAAGAGAGGATGATACACAGAGAGAGAGTGAGAAATACGGCCCGAGGAGCCAGGGAGGGAGAGAAGCTTAGGCCTATGTGTGTGTGTGTGAGAGAGAGAGAGAGACAGAGGGCTGTGGGGAAAGAAAAAAAAAAAGGACCAAAGCTTAGGTGTCAACAAAATTGTCCACTGCCGTTCAACAAACACCATCTCGTGCAGGATTTTTTTCCCCTATTTTAAACCAAACCATTTCCTATCATTCTGGTGCAGGAATTTTTGGTAGAACGGTAGAACCAGATGAAGCAGAAATGCTTTTTTTGACGAAAGAAGGAAAAGATACAATGAATGGACAAGGGGAAATCAAACAACAGCATTCCGTAGATGGGGATTCATCCCAAAGCACACGTCTTCTAGTTGGCGAGCGGACAAAATACACACTTGAAACCATACTTGTGGTGCATATGTGAGATGCACTGCGCAGTGCGGGGCGCTGATCGCTGATGTGTGGGGGGGGGGGAAGAAAGAAAGAAAGAAAAGAAAAGCAGTTGGGATGTGTGTATACACGCGCACGCGCACGCAAGAGAGAGAGAGAGAGAGAGAGAGAGAGAGAGAGAGAGAGAGAGAGAGAGAGAGAGAGAGAGAGAGAGAGCAAGAAGCCCTTGCCCGTACTTGGAATGGCCCCTGCCAAAAATTAGCAAGGGTTTCCTCGCCCAAGAAAATGGCAGTCGCTGGACTTATAATAAGGCAGTAGCAGGCTTACTATATAAGGTCTAGCTTCGAATTCAGGTCCGTGTTTCAGCAGCATGGGTTACTAACATACTAACTCGGCATGTGATTTTCAGGGCTTCAATCCACTACTCACCAAATGTGCAAAACTAGAATAAATATTCTCCTAGAAACTGGAACTATACGCTTCCATGTGTTTTGTCTTTTGTGCACGTGGTGACTAGTGGAGCGAGGCCCTTAGGGCCACTGCACGTAAGACAAGGAAAAACAAAAAACACGAGAGAGCTACAGTACTGTTAGTCGTAAGTTTGTATACCATAACTGCTGGAACACAGACCTGAATTTGAATCCAGAATATATTGCTGTGCTGCTCATGTCTCACCAGCAGTTCGATGTACGTCTCTCCAAAGAAATGGGACCCTTGCTAATTCTCTGTCGGCGGCCCTTTGGAAAAGAGACTAGATCCAATGAGTACAATGTGGCCTCAAATTTATTTTTTCTGTGCACTTACAATTTTCAGGGGGGGGGGAGGGGGCACATTTGGCTAACACAGCCTGCCCTTTTTGAATTTTTTAACCGACCCTATTTTCCATACTTGGATCACATCACGTGCGCACGCATGCATGCATGTGTGCTATGTGCCGCACGTGCAAAACGTGCGCGCACGTGATGCGCCACATGTATGCTTGAAACCTGTGTAGCATGGCGTTCATGTTCACAAGTGAACACAAACTTTCACGTGCGAACGTGGACACCTCCTAAAATCGAGCGAACGCAAACATTTTTATTTTTTTTATTTAAAATATATATATCGTCACAAACAGAGATATATATATAGACATTTTTTCATTAATTTTCTTATTCTTGTACTCATATACTAGAAAGCAAAAAACGAGATCGAAAAGAGAATAATAAAAACTTAAAAAGAAACATAAAATTAGGATGTATCATTTCATGTTCTAGCGGGAGATTCATTCCTATTTGGCAGTCCCGTGGAATATTCATTCTTGTTCCCCATATGGTGGTTGTATCTTCCCACATTGTTGCAGAAGATTCATTCTCCATTTCCACATTTCAGGAGTAGTGCACGCCATCTCCCTCTCTCTCTCTCTCTCTCTCTCTCTCTCTCTCTCTGTGTGTGCGTGTGTGTGTGTGTGTGTGTGAGATCTCTCAGAGAAAGAGAGAGAGCGAGGGAGAGGGCACGCAGCCCGTTACTCCCAAAATGCAAATGGAGAATGAATCTTCCGCAACAACGCCAGAAGATACAGCCGCCATATCATATGCATGTCGGGGAACAGAATGAATTTGCAGGCACGTGTGCCCTCTCTCTCTCTCTCTCTCTCTCTCTCTCTCTCTCTCTCTCTCTCTCTCTCTCNCTCTCTCTCTCTCTCTCTCTCTCTCTCTCTCTCTCTCTCTCTCTCTCTCTCTCTCTCTCTCTCTCTCTCTCTCTCTCTCTCAATGCCCACCCCGCCCAGCGCACCATGTTGTTCGCCTCCTAGCCCCCCCGCAAATCCCTCCACACCTGTCCCTCCCCCACCCACATACACACGAACATGTTTGCCAGCACTTTTCTCCTGTTTGTGCAAACATGTTCGTCCCCTGTTCGGGCGAACAGGCGAACGTGTTCGCACATTCGTAAAGCCGGCTAACAACATGTTCGCCTTGCTACGCAGCTTGAAACTCAGACATTTTGACGGAGTAGCAACCTGYATACTACCAGAAAAAGGGAAAAACAGGGTGGACAGGAGTGTGATGGGGAAAGCAGGTTTTCGACTTGCTTACCCCGCAACCAGTATCCAGAGCAGTTCTGATYGTGCCATCCTTCAGAGGAGGCAAGACCTCCTGCAAGTTGTCCACATATACTCCAACACCATGCGGAAACATGGTCCCACCTCCTGGGAAGATAAACTTGTCATCCTTCCTTTCTACCCAATGCTGGTTTGACTTCTGCTTGTCGATCCAGTCATAGGGAACGTTGCTGCTTTGCAGAAAATCGGAGCATCAACAAGAAGCAGCCACGACCACAATGCACGGAATTAGCGGATTGGATATGTTGTATTATGCCTCAGGTAAACATCGAATTGCCCCTGGCCAAGGCCACAAACACCTGAACGTTTAGAAATGGTTGATGTCAGGAGAACGAACGGACAGACATCAAAGCCTCATTCACCTTTATACGCAACCGAGGGCCGATCGCACATCATCAACCAAAGTGCAAACATTATGAGTTTCAGCAAGCCAGCAAAGAACATTGCAGTCCGGAAACCATTCTCCCTTCATCCTCCGTCCTTGCCGTTTTTGTTATCTACCCCCTTCTTGAGCCCTCATATCACCACCGAAACCAGGACTGTTTTATAACATTGATTGAACATTGCCTGGTTAGCCACAGTCGACAACCAACACGCTCGCACACACACACACACACACACACTTTCTCGCAGGCAGCACTACCTCCCAGCAGCATGTCAGGAGATACTATCAATGCATAGATCCATGTGCTCGGCTGGTTTACTTTGACACCGGCATCACAACCGTGCAGTCTTCTGTCCCCCCATCCAACCTATTTGCCTATGGTAAAGGATAAAAAAAGAAGAAACCCATCTACCAATTCACCCCCCAATCCATCTATTCACTCATCCACTCATCCACCTTGCTTCCACTCAGTTGATCACCCACCCACCTGCACTATGCATCCATCAATCCACCCAAGCACACATCCATCCCCCATACCTACACCTCCTAGATCAAGCAGTCGTTTCGAAGACAGAGTGAAAAACAAAAAAAATAACAAAGCAGTGGAGTAGCCGCCTCATGGAAGAACGACGAGGCTACAGGCAAACGCTTACTAACCTGTACCAGGTCGTGTTAAGGCTCTCTGGCCATCTGATTGGGTCCTTGTAATCCGGTGGGGGGGGCACTAAACACTGCAACCGGTCCTGCTTCGGGGGGCAATGCCTCTCCCTCGCCGCATATCCCTTAGTATTTCCAGCATGTTTTGACCATCTCTGTGGAAAGGAAGTGCCCACGACCGCACCCAACAGTATGCCACATGACAACACAACACAAGGTATGGAAAACAATCACCACCATCCAAGTAAGAGACCTGCATAACTAGAAAAACGAAAATAATCACAACCATCCGAGCAAAAGAACCCAGTATAACAAGTACATTACAGTGAGATGCACAACTCCCCATCATCAGCAAGCAATCAAACAAGACAGTCAAGTAAGCTGCCTTGCCCGCACAAGGCTCTCACAGGTTTCGGAATTCCACTGCAGCCGTCAGTGCACCTGAACACCTTCCGAATCCTATTGCCTATCATGCACCTGGACATCTCGTGATTAAGGTTCATTCCCGCATAGGCTGCAGTAGACAATTTCACAACTTCCAAAAGCTGGGTCCAGTCAATTCATCCACAAAATAAATGACGTCCGATATGCAATGATAGACTCCTCGAAAGAGAGAGGGGGAGGGAGGGAGAGGGAGGGAGAGGGAGGGAGAGGGAGGAAGAGGCAGGACAGACGGGCAGAGAGACAGAAACATAGACAGGGACAGAGATAGAGACAGACAGAGACAGAGATCAAGACACAGACAAAAACAGACAGCAGAAGACAGACAGACGAAGACAGACTTAATGGAGATTCACATGACGTTCTTTTGTCACGACTGCTCTCAAAGACGAGTTACATGCGACTGCTCTCAAAGACAAGTTACACGTACTTTGCCATTCCAGTTGTCTGCGCACCACCGACAGTTTGGTTCCTAGTGATATTATCAGCTTTTCATTTCGTTCAAACAACTGGAGGACCACAGAACTATGTGTGCACAAGGGTGATCATGAACTGGATACATGGAACCTCAAGAGCCCTCGCCATCACTCATCCCAGAGCAAAACCTCATGCAGGTGAAGTACCCAAAAAGCTTTTGATTTTTGCTTATAAACCCAAAGGATAATGTTCACATCATTGTTTAACAAAGACAGTTGTTTGCATTTCGTTGCTTCGTGTAAGGGGGAGGAAGGGTAGGATCCCCATTGGATTGCACGATTTGGACAAGTTGATTTATGTGCGTGCATCTGTGCATGCATCTGTTTTAAACAGCCATCATGACAGAAACTAATATTCCAATCAGATGCATAAAGATCATAATACAGTAATTGAAACATTCCCACGGTGTTCAAATGAGTGTCCCATCTTCGGCAAGGCGGCCGTTTCACTGCTGCAGTTTTGAGTGATGCAAAGCTACCCGTACGTATATTTAAGTGCAAGACCCTCCCTACACACCCATCCGCATTTCAAAACACTTAGCACCCTATGTTGTCTGTTCTCGCAGTGATCCTCATTTGTTGTGTGTCTGTGTGCGCGTGCATGCCTATTGTCACGTTCCACAAATGCAAATCCGCCACCTCCACCATGAAAAGCATTTGACATATTTCACCGAACCACTGTGGATGTATGCATGTTCTTTTGTGTGTGTGTGTGTGTGTGTGTGTGTGTGTTGTCATGCTGCCACACAGAACTCCACAAAAAAGCATGACTGTGACTGACTATTCCGTCGCAGTTTTGCCGACTCGTCATGACGTTTTGTGTCTGTGTGTGCATGTGTGTGTGCATGTTTTTCGTTTGCTGAGCATAACCCTACAAAAAAAGGGTGTGTCTGGGAGGGTGTGGGTGGGTGCGTTGGTGGGTGGGCTATATGTCCTGTCTTGGGGGAAGGAACAAGTATCCTGGGCTGACTTCTGTAAACTTGGTATCTGGGAAATCCAATCGTTAAAAAAAAAAAAAAGGACAAAAACACCAACAACAACAACAACAACAACAACAACATCACCGGCTGACTCCTGTAAAGTTGGTATCTGAGACATCTAATCGCTTTTAAAAAAAAGAAAAGGGGAGGCGATAGCACCAAAAAAAAAATCCAAAGAGGATACATAAGGGGGGAGGGGAGGGAGAAGGGCAAAGAATGCAGACTTACTGAAGGATCCGTGCATGGTGTGAAATCCTGGAACTCCCTTTTGCAAGGCTTAAAAGCTATGGGCGGATTCACAACGAGCGTATGTGGGCGAGGGACAACATTAGGTTCCCTGAGACCGCAGTAGAACGAGCCGAGAAAAAAACAAATCGTGCAGGCACCAGCAATAGAAATAGCAAGCGGAAGAATCCGCTTGTTCTTCTCAGTAAGCCGCTCAAACGGCAATTGCCGCCTCATCTTCGCTCTCGATCTTAACCCTCCTCTTGTTTGCTCAGTCCTCTAGCTGACACAGGTCTTCACGCAACTATACCATAAATGACCCCCGCTCTGCATCAGAATTTTCACAAAGACAACCAGAGTTTTGGATGATATTTCATGCAAATCACGAAATTCATGGGATTTGAGAAATGGTACTTGGATTCTTGTACAACAAATCAGGCAATGGATAAGGTGCGGACAAACAAAAAGAAGCTATAAAACTTAATCAGATATCATCACGAATGTCATACGAATGTTAAGCCTTTCATAGTGACATTTAACTGAGTTTTATAACCTTGCTTTTCACGTTTTTCTTTTCTTCTTCTTTTTTCAAGTTGGTCAGTTCTTGGTCCCGAAGTATAATGTGATTACCGTTTTTTGGATCCTTTTCTTATCCTCGGCGGAGACCGTTTTCATATTTATTTCCTTTGACAAAAGCTCAGATTGTTCTTAGTCTACCGAACTCCTCCTTGGGCCCCAGCATGTAGCAGCCCCTTAAGGTCTGAGCCCAAAAAAGAGCTGCCTGTCTCTAATAAGACATGACAAAAAGCATCGCAAAGACAAAGCGAAGACAACGTCAATCCGTCATGGCTTTCATCCCTGCATGATGGAGGCCACCTGCTGATTCCTCTTTGAAAAAGTAAGACACAAAACAAGAAGACATTCAGCGATCTATAAAAGTAAGACACAAAACAAGAAGACATTCAGCGATCTATAACTCTCTTCGAAATGAATCACGGATATTCATGCTTTAGAAAAGCTATACCAAAAGAAGTGACCGCACCGAACAACCGCTCACTTAAAACTTAAGGGGGAAATGGAGAAGAGGAGGGCCCACAGGGTGAGGAAGGGGACGGAGCAGCGATCAGACCCTTCAATCCAGTCAGGGAATACACTTGCATTTTTTTTTATTTTTATTTTTTTAATACACTTGCATTTTGTGCACTCAAGAGATAAACAAACTCCACGCAAACCTTAATCCTTCGGAATACGAGCTTCTTCATATAACTCACCATGCAAGACCATGCAAGAGCGTCTTCCCTGCGAAGAGCAATTTGAGTCTTTTCCCGAACAAAGAACAGCGACCGGCAAAAAAGAGATGAACGAGTTGATGGAAGCAGCGGCAGACTTTTGTGAACCACCCTTATCTGTGGGGAGTTGACCCCCAGGTTGTTCTAGAGGCAGGGTATCAGGCGCAGGCCAACTCTCCACAGCAGTGTTTTCCAAAATGCTCCAGTGTAAGGAAAAACCAAGGATCAAACTACCGTCTTCCCCCGAACACAACGCACCCTTATTTTGGCTGTATCTGGCCGGAAATAGCTTGTATTCATTCATTTTCAGAGTGCGTTATGTTCGGGGGAAGACGGTAGCATCTTCACCTGTACTTCACACACCCTCAGCACGACTGAATTGTACAGGAAAGATAGCTTGTATACATTCAAGATCAGGGTGTGTTGAGTTCCAGGGAAGATCATAGCAGCAGTCTGATGTTCAAGCTATATACACAGTAAGTCATCTGCGAGTCTACCAGTTCGCCAGCTCATACTAAAGCTCGTTTTTTCACCAAAACTTATTTTTCCATCCAGTGGATGCCTCTCATTTGAAAGGGTCGCATCCCACTAACTCCAGAAAGAAGAAAGCAGAAAGCAACTTCTGAATGAGATCTGGCATCCTGCGGCAAAATAGGCAAAAGAGCTTGAAACACCATTAGGTGCCATCCTGATAATGGGTCCAGTCCCATTAGCAGCTGGATAGAAATAAATGGTTTGTGTGGCAACAGAACAACAGACATCTGCCATGGGATCCCATTGGATGCCATGTGATCCCGCGCTCAGCTTTCTTTTATAGTATTCAGTACTACTAGCTTAGCGCTCGTGGTGCGGGCGGCGTGGGCTGCGCCAGCACAAACAAAACGACAAAAGGGGTGTACTTCTCCACATGGAGCAGCTGCTGCAGCTGCACCACTTCCCACGGCTGAAGGTGGAGCTGCATTCGCTGCAGGTCCTGCCGCTGCTGGATCTGCTGCTGTAGGTGCAGCAGCAGCCAAAAGTAGTGGTATTTCACTTGTGCCGTAAAGCTCCCACTTATTCTACACCTCTCAAGTCCTTTCACAGAGAAGAGGTGGGGGGGAAGAGCAGACTCTCTCTCTCTCTCTCTCTCTCTCTCTCTCTCTCTCTCTCTCTCTCTCTCTC